GGTGGGCCGAGGGCAGGGGGAGCAGCGCCTTCCCCTTCCCATTCACCTGCCCGTCTCCCTCGTTCAGTTTTGTTTAAGCTAAACCCGGCTCCTGCACTCGGGCCTCAGATTAGTTTGATAGCCTTGTTTGCATGTTGGGCCAGAATAAGGCCCCCCGTCCCCCACGATACTTGTGTGCCTCAACAGCTGTGTCCCATGTACACGCTCCAGCGTGATTAGAGGTGTGGGGTTTGCTTACAGCGTAACTTCAGTGACATAAAATTTACCCAGCGTGACCTGTGAAGACCCCTTTCCTCAAAGCTGGCGCTTGGGTAGTTGTTTTGTACCCTCTGCCTGTGCTGCTGGCTATCAGTGTGTGGGACAGCTTCAGAGTTCCTTGCTGAATGCCACCACGGCCTTCAGATCCCATCTCCAGTTCATTACAGTCAGTCTGGCGGGAGGAGTAGCTGCTCTCCGTCACAGCTTGGTGACATTCTCGGCTTTAATAAGGTCGTTAGTGAAAATAACAAATATTGCTGCCAAGCTCTGTGACTTACCTGTCTGTTCTGACTGAAAACCTGTGGTAGCCATTCTCCAACTGACGTCCTGTTCACCTCAGCAGGACCTCTGTGCTGGTGTCAAGTTCACGTTTTGTGATTATCAGCATCTAAAGATGTGATTTCTCCCACACACGTTAAGTTCTCCTACTTGTACAGAAGGCCGTTGAGTTTCTTTCCTATGATTTAAAACTGGTACTTCTACATTAAGTGGTACTTCTGTATTAAACAGTACTTCTCTCTTTATCCTTTCCCCTGAAGGGAGAAGCCATTTGCAAGCACTCTGTCCCATTAGCTTCTAAGATGACTGGGAAGATTTAACTTACACAGTAAGTAGTTCCCACAGGGGAGTTGGCCTCAAACAGCAAGGGGATCACTGGAGCGTTGCAGCATGCATTCTACAACAGTTTTGCCACAAAAATCCCCAGTTGGCCATTTAGGATTCTATTAAACATTTTGAAAGCTGAGGACCCAGCCTTTCTTTCTGTGTTTGCAAACAGACAAGAGTTTTTTCCCATTTGTTTAAAATGGTTCTTTCCTGTAAGCTGTAGCTTTTGGAATTCTCTGATGAAGTGTTAAACTTGGCTGGCATTTAAAAAACCCCTACTTTTCATGATTGCTAGAAAAAAACTTGAAATGTGTTTTCCTTTAAGAGCAAGAAACAAAGAAAATTATTTTCTTTGAAATTAGTTATGAAACACTGATCCTGTGATTTTTCAGGCATATGACTGAGGTTAATCTTTTTATGTGTTGCAAGGCAAAGCAAAATCAGAACAGCAAAGTTACCTTTGACATTGTTCCTCAAAAAATATTTCCAGTTCATCACTTTTGATCACAATTTGCAAAATTGCTTTTCAGGTGAATATCTGTTGACTTCATAAAATTTGGAAACAAAATATTTATTGCTATCTTCACTGTGCTGGTAAGACCACTTCCCAGATGGGTTTTAGGGTTTGGAAGGGGAAGAACTATTAAACCAGCTTTTTTCTGGTGTGCAGTGTTTGTTTCTGGCTTTTTGTAACAGGCAGACTTTCTACCTACCTATTTTTCTTCAAAACACTTTGATTGAAAAAGGTGCTGTGGTTAAAATGTGTATTTTCTTTAAATAATTAAATGTTAGGTGTTCTTTTTTGTCATAAATATTCTAGCTTCTTTACACTGAGCCTGGCCTGTGCTGCAATACATAGGAGTGTACAACAGGCCAGGTAACAGCCATAAGTTCATATTAGTCCCACTTACATGAAATTTGATAGTATTACATCAAAGGATCACATTCTTAATCTGAAATTCTGTTTCTTTTGGTTATTCCCTTGGGTGGTTTTTAGGAAGTTCCAAAAACAACAGAGTTGCAGCACATCTGCTCATTGGTATGGCAGTGAACATACATGTACTCTGTATTCTAACTTCGCGTGAAATGTCAGGTCATGTGCACTTCAAGATAATTATTGTGGCCTGAGCCTAAAACTGCCTCATACTCTTGAACACAAAATATAGCCAATAATGTCTATTATAAGGCAAAGCTTAGGATGTGAGAGAGAGCTTTGGTAGGACCACTCTATGTCTAATGACATCCCACTCCAAATAGCAGTTAGGTTTTCTTCATCTTTTGATAGATACACAGGAGTGTGCCTAGTAAAAATTCCCACCAAAGCAAAATGCTGTTCTTCATACACTTCTTTGAGAGCAAGAATGGGAGGACAAATTGTCTGTGTTCATTATTAATCATATCCCTGAATGAGATTCTGGATTAGTACAGCTTTCAGTCCAGTGTAAGGCTGTACTCAGTTCTGCATAGGTTAGAATATGGTGTTCACCTGTCACTTGTGAATAGAGGTGGATTTAAGCAGGGAGCACACAAGTTCTCTGTGCCACTGGGAAGGCAGCCTGGTGTGAGGAAAAAGGAAGATTTCCAGTGTGCCTCCGTGTTTCTCTCATTTCATTCTCTCCAACAGGCCGGCCACGGTCTTTGTGTGACTTAGTGAGGAGATCGCTGTTGAGTTCCTGAGAGTTCCAACTTTTTTGCCAGACAGGAGGAGACGAACGCAACAGAAGATTCCTCAGCTCTTGGATCCCAGATAGGTTCCAGCCCCAACGTAGACCGAGAAGAAGGTGGAAAGGATGCTTTTGTCATTGTCTTTACTCTGAATATTTTGACTTTTGTAAATAATTATTTTTTCAAGTATAATGCATTATTTATAGCAAAAGTATATTGAGCTGACTTTTAGTTGACCAAATTATGCCTACCTAATCTTAATCAGAAGATAATTGATTATTTGCCTGGAACCATATACATCTAAAGTTCTGTAAACAAATATCTGCCTTACAAAAATGAATTATTTTTTTTCTTTTAAGACCCTGGTGCCACTTTGGAGCAGTCAACAGTACAACATGAATGACACCAGGCACCAGTCTCTATTCTTTGCCCGTCTGCCAGAGCTAGAAAAACTCTGCGCTGCTACAATAACACTGAGTTCTCAGGTACCAGAAACTGAGACAAGGAGTACACAGATAAAGATTTGCAGGTGAAGAATTTTAAGGATTATTATTTTCAGAAACTGTTGGTGGTTGTTAGCAGTGGTAGCATTAACTGTAATAAAACCAGCAAAATTCTTACCAGCAGCAAACAGTACAAAATTGTTCAAAATAGGGGTTTTTTTGGTGGGGGACTTGCTGGCTATTGGAGGAAAAAAACCCCACATTTCTATTATGTTTTAAATGTCATCTGTTAAAACTAACAAAGTCACCTACTTCGTATTAATAAATAGTTAAAATTAATCTGTATTCACTTGCAAAGTTGGAATCCTTTATGTAGGTTGAGACTGAGTGAAAAGAATACTCAGAAAGCATACGTGTACTCTTTAGTGTTCACCGAGCATTATGTCACTCCCTTTAACACAAAAGGGGACAAATGAGAAATTCTGCCAAAAGGGACACTTTTGGAGAGTTCTGTTTATGTGCCAAAGGCCTGTAGTCTGTCTTAGACCACTGTAGGTGAATTCAGAGCAAGTAACTTGGACTAATCCAATGTATTATACTGAACCACTTGAAGTCAATTAAAAATTTAGTATATTATGTTTGCAAAAGGTGAGGAAAATAAATTTAAGCTGAGACAATCGTGTACAGAAAATTATTTTTGAAATTTTTTCTAACTTTTTTTTTTTTAATAGACAGTTATTATTCCTGCATCAAGAAATCCTTTCTGCACCTGTTATTGGAACACTAAATCAAATTTCAGTTGTAATGGCGGTCAGTATCACTGTGTAAATAAGTATATGTAGTTACATTCTGTTGCGGATGAGTGAAAAGCACCTCACTCAAAAGAGAGAAGCATCAAATGTATTTTATTGAGGTAAAATAATAATTTGTCAGAGTTCAATAAGTTTGATGGAATTTAACAAAGTTTTAACAATGGTTTGACAAGGTTCAATTAAGTTTGATAGCAAGGTTCACCTTATTAATTACTGCATGGAAGAAATATACAAAGGAAAACTGAGTTAGAATGAGTCTTACAGAGACCAGAAATGTGAAGAGTAAAGAGAACCCTCCTGTTGAGTCATGAGGTTCAGAGCAGACCTCACCTTGCCTTGTAAATTCCTTTTTGGAGCCCAGGTACAGCTGAATCCAATCTTAGTCTCAGACTTGGTCAACAGTTCATGTCTAATGGAATTATCCATACAATGTTTATAATCTCTGAGTAGCTACACAGATTAGTAATGCTTCATAGTATTCAGTATGCTATCAGTCTCTTACTAAGGATCTGTTGTGAGTAAGGGATCTCTTCATCTTGGGTAAGGAAGGATCTCTTAGGCTCAGGTAAGGAATTGCTAATCTTGGCAGGTGTCCCTGCTCAAGGGGAGAGTCACCTGGCATGCAGCCCAGCTGCCATTCAGGGTGAGCTCGTATTGGGCCCATCCCGATTTTAATATATACAGGGTGAAGCGGTTGACTGCTAGTTAATAGTATAGACAAGACACGTGTCTTCAGTTTAGCTCTGATATTTTGTTCTGTACTTTGGTTATCTTGTACTTTTTGGTTTTGAAACCACCTTTCAAAATATTTTTCAAGAGACCTTCACTGCCTTGTACATGAGCCAGGGGCTTTCCAGCTCACAAGTTCACCCTGAGGACAGGAGGCCTGTTGCTTCTTGCTCAGCCTGAACCAGGGTATGGCCAGGAGTCAAGTGTATCCATCACACATATGTGCATGTTTCTCTAAGTGGTTTGTTTGAGGATCAAGGATAAGTGAAATTATGTCATTTAAAGCAAACTTTCATTTTTGTGCATTAGTAATATAGATGACAGCTGATGTCTTCTACTCTGTTGATGAAATGACCTTTTCATCTGCTGATCCTTCTGTGGAACAGAATGGACTCAATTGGTAACATGCCATTGAATTCACAATGAGAGCAGCAGGAGCAGAGTTCTGTGATTTGGGCAGTCTTTTGCTTGCTTGTTAATGTATCTTTAGCTGGAAATGAGACTACACTATGACAAAGGCCTGAACTTATTTTGGTTACCATTCTCCTTTAAAATACAAGATATGGTGTTTGCTTTAGCTGTTCCTTAGTATGTTTTTACCAGGCAAAGTCACTGATGGCCCAGAATTTAATTTATGGTTTACTAAAACACCTCTTAATTTCAGAAACTTGATTTTTTTAAATTTTATTTTTAGATACCATTTTACAAATCAGGAATATGTCAAGCCTACATAGAGAAACAAGGAGCTACTGTAAGTGCTGAAAGATGTCACAGTTCTTGATTGTTACGCTTGTCTGCAATTGTTACCAGAGAAGAGTATTTTTCATAGGGCATGCAATTTGCAATACAAAAGCCAAGTTTCAGAGTAAAAAAGATTGTCCCAAAGACAAAATGTCTCTTATGAATCTGGGTATAGTACATATACTTTGTCAGAGTCAAAAGTTTTAAGAAGCTCCTGAGCAATTTCACTAGATTTCTCTGCTGCAGTGGGATCCAGATCCTGCTCGGGGGTGTTGGGGTTTGACCTTGGCACCAACGGGCCAAAGACCTGCAGTTCCCCTGCTGGTGTCACCGCCTCTGGGTGTGCCCTGTAGGTTCCACACCTGGGAGTGTTCCAACAGCTAACCTGTCTCATTCACATTTTGGGTTTACCCAGCCTGTATAGGATAGTTTCAGATAAACAAAACAAAAAAGTAGAGAAGAAATGGAACCCATGAGCTTAACAGCTGATATATTTTTAGTCCATCATACATATGCTTCACTGTCTTTTAGAACGCAGTGTTTGTGGGTTTTATGAAGGCATGTGTGGGCGCACTAAAATTGCTGAGCCAGCCGACTGATTGTAATCAAAGCCAGTAGCTCTCGTAACTCATTTGCACAATCAGTTGGGTGTACTTTCCTTTGTTCCAAAAAGTGTAAATGTATATCTGGATTAGTAAGACATACACTGTAGCACTGTTGAAATATGCTTACCTTACAAAACAGCTTTATGTTGATATGTGTAACTGACCTGTCATCATTAGATTTTCCCACATCAGCAGATTAGTAGTACAAAGTATACTCAATAACCATGAGCTGCAAGCAGATCCTTGCAGGATCTCATTAGAAACATCCGCCTGGAGGTGTATTAGTTGAGTCTTTTTAAACCATTGTAATTACTTGCTTTTTCTTGACTAATGCCAGCTGTCAATAGAAAGCTACGCAAGACAGGTAAAAAGTCAGACAAGTAGTACTGCCGGGTGAACAAAGCTACGTGTATCTACTGTTCTTGTGATTGCAAGAAACGTCCCTGGTCTTGAGTTTGACAGCAGAGTTAATAGATGTAAATTTTGGATGTTGTGCCTGTTGTCTGGCAGGAGATGCATATCTAGTAAAATATTCCATATAGTTCAATTAACCTTTTCCCCAGGTCTATTGTCAGCCCCGTGAAAACATTAAGTGAATTGCAGTGTACCTTGCTTTGATGACATCTGAAATGTAAATGCCTACATCAAATACTGTGCTAATTTCTTCTTGTAGCTAAGTAGATTAAAAGTAAAATATGTAATATATACTGGGATATGGCTCCAGGATGCAGTAGCAGTATCTTTGATTAAATTTTGAGTGAAGCCTTTAAAAAATATGTTAAAATATTAATAATGTATTTTTCTTTTCTCACTCATGTTGTTAGCTGGAAGCACTGCCAACAGTTAGTCCAACCATTCTCCAAACCTGTCTCTCCTACACACTTACAGCCAGACTTGCACCCCGATGGAACAAGGCTGGTCATCTCTTGGTGCAAGGTATTTCACTCACCTGGGACAGGGATCAAGCATTTACTTTTCCATTCTTTATGGTTGCATTTATTGTCCATAATTTAATTTTCATCATTTTTTAATTTCCATCATTATTTCATTCATTATATTAAATTATTTCATTAATTTATCCTATTTTTTTATTGCATTTGTATTGTTCCTTTATCTAAATTCAGTGATTCAAGTTAACAATCTGAATGGACATATAATTCACCTTTTCATCTTCCTTTTCATCTTTGTAATAGATCAAATAGTTATTTCAACTGAACACAACATACCAGATTAATAATTTCCAAACCAAATGTTGTTGGACAGTAAATGTCTTTGAAAAATTTGGCCTATTTTTCAAATTCATGCTTTCATCGGTGGCACTTCTGCACGTGGTTTGTATGCTTTTCTAATACAGAAGTGTTTTTCTGTCAGATCATCTCCTTCTACCAAGCTCTGTGTTTTTAAATGGTAGTTCCTTTGCCTGACATCTCTTTACTAACTCCTGTGTAGGGTAAATGTGAATTACCAAAGTATAGAAAAACAGGTGTGTTTCAGATACTGTAGTGTGTTCTTATTAAGTAGAGCAATTGTACAGATCATTCCAAATATACATTAAGAAAAGTGTGCATGTTATTGTCTCATTTCCAGCCACAATATTAGCAGCATCTTGTTTTCAGTATCTTCATAATGTGTAGCTCTCTGAATGACATCAGCTTGTTCAGGAATAGCAGCTAGAAGTAAAGAGCTAGATGATAGCTGATATAAAACTGATTTTAGTGAAAGACATTGACTAACAGCAATGTGACCCTCATACATGCAACTTGTCTAATCATATATGTTGCTAAAACTGGGCAAAACTGATGAAATATGGTAAAATACACAGTAATATTATGCAGATTTGCTTTTGAATCTGAGAAATTTATTAACTATTAGTAAATTTAAAATAGTTCTATGTATAATTTCCTTACTGGAAGGAAATAAGGATGTATAAATTACTGTCCACTAATATGCTTTCATATTTCTTTCTTTTTTTATAAGATGTTAGTGAATCAGTGAAAATTTAGTTGATAGAGGGGTTTTTCTTTCCTTAGAAGGAACAAACCTTTCAGCATTCATGACGCACAAATGAAACTGTGTGATACCTTATATTTTTTTGCATAAAGCCATTAGACATATGATTTAGAAAATAATGTCTATCTATTTTATTTATGAAGGAAAAGATTTTTTGTCTCATTCCGGAAGGCAAAACGCTGTTGGTAAGTACAATATTCTGTTAATGGTAAACTTCTGAAAGCAAGGTGTAGGTATGTGCTTTCACACTGTCATGATCTTGGTGTTACCAACACAATGTCTTCTTGTTTTTCATTCTGAAATAACCTCTGTCAAAATACACTTGATAGCAGATGATTCTCTGCATGTAATAGTCGTCAGCTGAACTGTACCTTTGCTATTAATCTACAGCTATAGAATTTACCACTTAAAAGTTAATGTTGATTGCAATTAAATGCACTTGCCTCAAATTACGAGTCTTGCAAGTGATGTGAAAATTCCATATTAATAGACAGGGAAATGAGTTAAAGTGACTGTCCTGTATGTACTACTTTTGCTTTTCACAAAAGTTAAGTCACAAAGTGTGCTGCTTAGCTATTGCAAAAAATTAAAAAGTAATATTTTTATTCCAATATAAAAATTAAAGATTACATGTGGGGATATTGGTGCCTAAACTTGCAACAGGGACATATATGTTCAGGAATGCAATACATTCAGTTCCTGTGCTAGAGCTTGCTCAGAGCTGGGTGAATGTTCTGGACGTGTGTCAATAAATGTTGGCCTTGCTCATACAGTCTTTCCTCTTGACCTCTTCTGGATGTGTACTACTGGGCTAGGTGACTCAGTACAGCCAATGGTTATAATAACCACATTTGCTTTGAAAATGAGTGTTTGTGTACATGAGTATCAAGCATCCAGTTATATGGACAGCCATGAGTTCCTAGGGAGGTGTACTGTATGGATAGTAATTAATTATTATTGATTCTTTCACAATTAAATTGCATTTAATTTTAATTTCCATGCCAAGGAGATCTAGCCTTTTGATTTTCAAATGCAGCATTTTGACTAACAATTACTTTAAATAAACATTTGGTTTAGCTTTCTGTCTAACAGATGAACTGTAGCTCAAAAGAGGGCTTTGTGCTTTGTTTTTATTTTAGTTATAGACCTCAATGTATCAGAGAGACAGCTTTGCATCAGTGTGGAGGCTTGCTCAATTCGCTTGCCACCCCCTGAGGTATAAAACAGTTATGTTTTCTCTTACTGTGCTTGTCTTTTTAGTCTTTTTCTTCTTTTCTGTTAGGTGACTTGCAATTATCGTCATGGGAATAGAAGTGCTTATTTCTTATTGTATTAAGACAGTAATCATATTCATTGACTATCTGCATCTGTTCTCAGTGCATAACAACATCCATATTATATCTATATTGATGCCTTCTAGCATGCATTGTAAAATTGAGATTCTAGACTAATTGAGAGACACTTCAAAAAATGCTAACAGAACATAGTAGTGAAGTGTTTTTATGACTCGAGATTTCCTTCTAGCAGTGTTTTCTAGAAGGCATTCACTGCCTCACAGTAATACATAGTTTTGAGTACCTTCTTAAAAGTGAAGCTACAGATAAGTTGTCAACACTGTGTTTAAAGTCTCTGTATATAATTATTCTGGAATCCACTTCATTTTCTATCCAGCTTCCGAAATACTGGAGCAGCCTAGACTATGCTGCTTATAAGCATCATTAATAAATTGTTTTAGAAATCATGATTGAGGCTGAAAAATTACCATCCCTTCTGACAGCCCCGTCACCTTTGTTGACTATGTTTGTACATAGTGGGGCGTATTTGACAGGCTTACTGGTTTCTTCCAAAATAAGTATTTCTGATCCAAATACTTTTGTCTTACAATAGAAGAATAGGATTTCTTCTCTGACCTGGTTGGACAGCATAAACATTTAAGCTGTTTATTCTTTAGGAATCCAATTCCAAAATGACACAAAGCAGTGATGGAAGTGATCATGATGTGGCTTCATTATCAGTTTGATCATTTTAATACTTTTCTAAAATAGAGACAGCCAGATTTTTTTGTCAGTGAATAAATGCAAACCCTGGTAGACCATAGAGAGAGAAAACGTTTCTCAAATCTCAGTGGTTGGTTGGCCCCTACAGTCAAATACTTTCATGTTGTGAAAATGTGTGGTGTTTTTTGACTTCTCACAGGGTGAAACTGTGTCCCGTTAATTAAGTTGCTGGGGTCTTTGCACTTGATTAGGCAAGGTGGTGTATGCAGTTGCCAGCCTGTCAAACAGGGGTTTCTGATTTGAATTTTTAACAAATGTGCATGGAAGTGAGGCAGTTCTTAGTCTGACAAATTCCTTCTGTACTCTTCCTTATTAAAATACTTCAAATAAAGTTTAAATCTCACTGATTTAAATAACCTTTAAACCTTGTGCTTGCCTAACTTTTGGAAGTGTAGGCTCTAACATAAGATAGGGTGCAATTTGATAATGGGGTTATCTTCTGAAATAAGTAGTCTTTGAGAGCTGATAAAAAATAATAATGTATATAAGCTTCAGTGTATTGTGATACACAATTATTTCTGAAAATTTTAATTTTGTACTGCTGTAGAAATATGTGAAAATAACTTTTTTTTTTTTTTCCTGTTTTAAGCTGGGAGATTTTGATATTTCAGCAAACACCTTAAAGCTCTTTGACAGCAATGAAAATACAGTTATTCACCAACATTCCATATTAAGTAACTGGTGCTATGTTTTGCCAAGGTAGGCGTCTGTTTACATTCCAGCAGAAACAAACATTTCCTGGAACGTTTACCATACAAATTGTGAATTCGATACTAGTGATAAGAACACTTCTGTTTTATAATCTGGTTTATATTCATGAGTCTTTCTTTTTTACTTTTATGGTCTCAGTGTTATGGAAAATGAGAAAGAAAATTAATCAGTGAATCATAAATTACATATTTAAATATTGTTTCAATTTTAATAATCCCTCTTCTACTTTTGTGATGTGCAAGAGCATTTATTTTTCACAGACACAGAAACTGTAAGTTTAAAGAAAAAACGTATTTCCACCTTTGCCACGACTATCTCTATTTCACCTGAAAATATGAGAAGTAATGATGTATTTGCTTTTGTTCCACATTCACTGGTATTGAGTATTATAGACAAGAGAAAACAGACTTTTAGGTGCCAAGTTCTTTTCCATATTGCTATTCTGGCATCAACTTATGAACTAAAGGTATTAGTCCGCAAAACACAGAAATAATCCATAAATACTTTCAGTGCCAAACATAAGATCAACTTTTTTTTTTTCCAAAAGTCCAGTATATTTTCAGATGAGTTTTATGACATACTGTCTAAGCACCCCTTCTTTACCTATGCACAGCATGAAAATGGGTCAAATTATAAACATCAGCCACATAATTCCTCCAGAATCTCCTTTCCGTTCATATAAAGAATTTCAGATGCACTGGAAGAATCTGGTAAGAAATAATATATGCTGCTTTCAGTTTCCCTTCCTTTTTGGTACCTATTGAATTTGTATTTGAAACATGTTTGTGTTTTTTTTTTTAAGTATGGATATATTCTTCCAGAGGATCTTGAAGAGACAAAAATATACTTCAGTGTTTACTTCAAGCCAATAGGGGAAAGGTTCTTTACGTATCCTTTCAGAATATTTTTGTTACATTTCCTCTACTACACTTCTAGCAAAGATCTAAGTTTTCATTTTTGATTGTACAACGTTTTCTTCTTCCATAATTTCATAGAAGTCAGTGGACAATTGCTTCACTAGACAAACTGGAACAAAATATTTAGTCAAGTCGATTTGTCCTAGTATCGAATAGTAGTAAATCAAGTAGATCAGTTTGCTTCACAGCTTCTGTAAACGTGATAATGCCACTTAAAATGGTGATGTAAAAGGAGGAGTTAAATTTGTAAAAATATGTCCAACAAAGATTTGTTTGAAAGAGAATTTTCCTGCTAGGAAAGACTACACTAAGGATTACTTGTATTGAGTAATCTTTACTGTGGTAGATGAGTGTGGTATAGTCATGTTGAAGCTTCAGTCCCTTAAGAAAGTAAGTGCTTTTTAGACATGTTAATGCTTTCTTCTCAACAAAGATAATTCATAATTACAGAAGTGTAGAGAAACATGTTATGTATCCCTGAACATCTATTCAGGTACCCTTTAAGTTGCATTCGAAGTCAGCCAGTGCAGTATTTCCCTAGAACAGACTCAGAAAGTGTGTTGAACTCTTTTCTTTCTGACATGAAGCGTAATCTTTCACATCTATGTGGATTTCCAGTAAAGATGACAAGTAAAGCTCTTTATGCTACACAGGAACTCTCCAGGGCTCCGGTGCGTGGAAGGTTTTTTAATAAATGTATTAATGGCATGTACTTTGCTTATGGTATGGAGTGGTCTTTGTCATGTTCAGAACACAGTAAGTTTATGCTTTTACTACAAACAAGTGTCAATCATATAACTGTTAACTGAATGTGTAATTAAGTATTATATTGCTATTTGCCGTTGTTAATGTTGTTGTTCACATCACAAATACATTAAAAATTGGACTTAGTGTTAATTAGTTGTTATCAATATTTGCAGTTCTGTAGTCCTTATTTTACAGTTGGATATCCAGAACTTTCTCACACCTCTTACATATTAATATTAATAATTAATAATAATTATTATTATTAATATTGACTTGTAATATCTTGGGCATTCATGTACACCTCTTTCACATTACTATGGAAAAGAAGAATTGATCATATTTTGTAGGATTTTGTTTTATATATAGATTGGTGAGTTAAACTTAATAATTAATAAAATTATTATCATTGTTATGATTACTATTATTACAGGTTTGGTTTTTTTTTTAAAGAAAAATGTAAAGTTCTGTGGACTTATTCATTTAAAAACATTCAGACTGTAAAATTTACTCCATGCCTGGTGATGGAAAGGAGGCAAGCAATCAAAACTCTTTTAAATTGAGATTGTGACAAAGGCTGAGACTCAATTTTTTTTGTTAGTAGTGTGTGAAAGAAGAAAAAAGTTATTAATTCTGAACAAAGAATAGTGACAGGAATTGCAGAGATTCTAAAATACTAAAATCCTCTTTCAGAAAGCAGTTCCTGTTTATGTCTCTTCAATGATCAAAGCTAGAATGGCTCCTCTTCGTCATCTGCAGTTTTCATAGATGTTCAAACTGTATTTTGCTCAGAATACAGGTGCCCTTAGAAGCCTTAAGAGACGAGGAGCTCTGTCAGTGAAACTCTCTGCAGACCCTCTCAAAAGGGCTAGGCATTACCCAATTGGAAAGCACTAAACCAAGATAATGAGTGTAATTTCAGTCTTTCCTTCTGAGAAATATGATATTCCAGCATAATTTATAAACAGAGAACTGGGGGGAGGAGAAAACAAATCTTAATTTATAGTGACAACAAAATATTGTTTAAAAATAGAGTTAATTCTAATTCAAAACAGGAAAATGAAAATTATATATTGTGATGTACATTAAGTGAATATGTAGTGATGCATCAGGTGGCACTATCAGATTTTTAAATCCATTTCATGGAATTTAGCAACTCTTGTTGTATTGCAGGAAATAAAATCTAAGCACATGGAACTGACCGGTGAGATGGTTTGTGTAGTATCTCTAACGCAGGCTCCTCCAAGGAAACAGACTTTGCCTAGAATTTCTTCAACATGCAGTATGGAAAACAGCCACTGGATGGAGCGTTTGATCAAAGAGACAGAAACACAGACTTTTTCTCGTAGCAGTAAAGGTACAGAAAAGGTTAGCATGGAAATAACAGAGAAATCAATGAATAATAGGCAAATACCAGGAATACCAGAGTTACCAGTTGTGAAATCTTCGGGAACTCCTGTAAGTTCAGCCTTTGAACTCCCCTCCCCAAAAATCAGTAAAATTATACCAATTTTCAAAGGAAGGTTGATGCAAATAAATGGAAAGACCACAAATCAAATGGATGGGAAGAAAAGAGAAAATGCTGAAAGACATTCACCAAAAAAAATTATGGGTGTTCCTTCTTCTATGCTGACTGCATGCAAGTCCAGCATAACTCATGTTTACAAACCCGTTGAAGATATGTCAGTCAAAAATCCTCCTCATAGCAGTGTACATCAGGTAATGAACATGAGAACACACACAAAACATGATGTACCTGTATTTCGATGGAAAACAGCGTCTAGTGGACAAATGACTAATACTGATTTCTCAGATAACTCAACTTCAGGTGGGAATTCAAGTGAAATCAGTCACAAAAAGACAAATTTTCTTTCCTTTCCTAAGAATGTTGGGTCGGTGCTTCAGAAATCAAACGACAGTCTGAGTCTGAGCAGATATGCGTCTCCTGCTTCCAGTGCAAGAAGGGGAAAAAAGTTTGCAAGTCAAAATACCACGCAAGTTCTTGAGAAAAACCACCAGTTAAAGACAGTACCTTTCCAGATTTTTAAATCAGACAACAAAACGACAAATTTTGGTTTATCACAGCAACAAACAAAGAGATCAAATGAAGGAGTGGGGTTAAATATTCGTGAATCTGTCTTAAATAATACAATGTGCACCACCAAAAATGAAGAAAATAAAGCAGCATGCCATTCTAAGGACTATATTGAGAAGACAAGCAGTCATCATTCCAAATCTAACTCTGAACAGGTATGTTGAATAACAGGGCTCATTCTCACTGGTTCTCACAAATTCGGTATATTCTAAAACAGTGTTGAGCAATATAGAGCATGATTTTCATCATGTTCTACTATGATTCTCAATAGAGTTTTCTAAAAGTTCTACCATATGGGTTAGTGCTGTCAGCCACTGCTGCTTTTTTTCTGGAAGAGAAGATGATCTGTGTTGTCTGAGAGACACACTTTTTTGTTTGTGACTTTTAAAGTGGGATAATTAGTTTTCCTTTTTTTTAAGACAGTTTATCATAGAATCATAGAATAATTGAATGGTTTGTATTGGAAGGGACCTTAAAGATCATCTAGTTCCAACTCCCCTTCCATCAGCAGGGACATCTTCCACTAGATCAGGTTGCTCAAAGCCTCATCCAACCTGGCCTTGAACACTTCCAGGGAGGGGGCATCCACAACTTCCTTGGGCAACCTGTTCCAGTGTCTGACCGCCCTCACAGTGAAGAACTTCTTCCTAATATCTAATCTAAACCTCCCCTCTTTCAGCTTAAAGCCATTTCCCCTTGTTTTGTCATTAATTGCCCTTATGAAAAGTCCTTCCCCAGCTTTCTTGTAGGCCCCTTCAGGTACTGGAAGGCAGCTATAAGATCTCCCCGGAGCCTTCTCTTTTCCAGGCTGAACAGCCCCAACTCTCTCAGTCTGTTTATCAAGATTTGTGTGAGGTTCACATGGTGAAATTTTCGGTGTTCAGTCTGACTTCATAGGAAACCATATTAATGAACAGCTCCTGGAAGGAATCTCAAACCTCATCAGTTGTGTAGCGCTGACTGCAGTGTATGTAAGGCATTGTGCTGTTAGACAAACATGGAAGTTTTGCAAATACAGGTTTAATTACAATTTCACTAAAAGCACAAGTTGCAACAGGAAGAATTCCTACTGGGAATAAAGAAAAAAACAGATCTTCAGAGTGAGAGTGGTTAAGTACTGGAACAAGTTGCACAGAGAGGTTGTAGAGTTATTATCCTTTCAGATTCTCAAAACTTGATCGGATGTGGCCCAAAGCAATGTGACCCAACTTTTGAAGTTAGCTCTGTTTTGAGTAAAAGTTATGATTAGATGACCACTAGAGGTACTGTACAGCCTAAGTTTTCTGTAATTCTGTCTGCATTTCAGGAAAATAAATAGCTGAGCTGATTTCAGTGCAATTTTTATGAGGATAATATCCCACAGATTGAGGACATGAATGACAGGTGTCGTGCTTATCACTTTTTGCACCTATAAAATGTAATTTTGTAGGTTATTTCAACTTTGTGTTATGAGGGCAGCTTTTGAAAAAGTAGGTCATTGTAACAAGTAGAAAAATGCTGAGATTTTTTGCTAATGAAGGTATAAACGTCTGTACTTTAAGATGATTACAGGGAATGAGTATCTGACATGTGAAACACTGACCTCGAACCTGACTTCCTCAGTCAAGGAGAGCAACATGGAAGCACCTGTAAAGAAAGGTTGTGCCAGAAGAAGGCAGGTAAAAAACCCAGACACGTACGTGCCTTGTTCCAGTTAAAATAGGGAAACTAAGAAATCCTATTGAACCTCTCTGGATAAAGATATCCTTAACCAGGATAAAATTAACCTTCGCCATCGGTTATGTTACTGTTACTTTAAGCATGCATTTAAAATGTTTGTCTCCTGCCAAAGATATTACTAAAATGAAAACTTTTAATCATGTTACTTAATGAAAATACGTTTCTGAAACAGAGTTTCTGATTCTACAGAAAAGTTTTATCCTGCCCAGTATAACTATGTGCATTCTCATTGGCTTTGTAAGTGTCTCGTCGTATGTGCTTGAATTCAGCAACATTCTGTAGAATTGAGTTCAAAAAGGCTATTTGTAATTCAGTCTGGGTTTTTAAAAGTTATATTCTTTTAATTTTTAATATATTTAAGTTTTTTTGTGTATTAGATGGGGGCAGCAGCAAGTTAATTTTTAATTCAGCAGCATTCTGAATGAGTTCAAATGGCTTCAAAATGAGTTCAAATGAGTTCAAATGAGTTCAAAAAGGCTATTTGTAATTCATTCTGGGTTTTTAAAAGTTATATTATCTTAATCTTTTAATATATTTAAGTTTTTTGTGTATTATTAGATGGGGGCAGCAGCAAGTTAATTTTTTTTTAATACTTTTCCCTGTGGATGTTGCTCTAATGATAGTAGTGTGTACTTTTAAATTCATCTTCACAATATTTTTTCATTATTCTTAAATATTGCTTTTACCTACCACTGGGCTACATTTCTGTTTCTGACTATTAGTTCTTTAAAACTCAGTTGTACCTTCCATCTCCTTCTCCTCACAACCACATTCTCTATGCTTTTACCACCTAGAAATTGGATGGATTAGAAGGAACAGGCCACAAGTCTCCAATGCTCAGTACAATTGTATTTTCTTACATAGATATGTATGTATTATTTCTGCTAATAGGCAACTGAAAATACTCTACAGAATAAGTTAGGAGGAAAAGTTGCACGCACTTAACTCCCTTTTCACCTCGGTTGCCTTGCCTTTTGTATTTCATTTCAAGCATGAGCATTTGAGGTCTCATTACCCACGTTTGATCTCAAGTGCCTTTGCCTTATATATTGCCACATGTTGCAATATATAAACTTACCTTGTCAACTTACTCTTTAACTGTTGATTAAGAACTTAAGAGTATGTATCCATAATTCAGATTTTTCCACTTAATTTCCATTTGTTAACATTAAGTTTTCTGTCTTTTTTTGTTGTTGTTGTTATGCTTTTAAAGCCATATACAAGACAATGCTGTAACTTTAGATGGTAATTAAAAGAGCACAGCTTGTGCTATCCGTGCAGTTCTGAAAGGGCCAATAGAGCAGCCTCAGGGGCCTGCTGCAGGAACATGCTCCTGCCCTAGAGCTCAGGCTGCAGCAGGGCAGAGAGGAGCTGGTGTGGGAAACGCCATCCCAGCTGCTCTGAGCTGGCCCGGTCCAACTGCAGCTGGGAAAGGCCCTTCCACGGGGCCACAACTCACTAGTTACAGGCCCAGCACTGCGATGCTGCAGCAGTAGGGTCAGGAGTCAGTCTCACAAAGAAGAAAAGAAAAACAGCAACTAAAAATAACTGCGGGTATAAGAATAATAACCCCAGGGGTCTGAGTGGGAGACTTCCACTGTGATACGAATTAAGTGCTGAAGTCCTTTGCCTGCCACTGGGAATGACTCAGCTGCACTAGGGCTTGTGAGCATGGAGCTAGCTCTACAGCTTGGGCAGAATGGACAAGCAGAGAACTTGTAGGTGGTCTGGCAGCACTGCTGGGATGGGAAAGGGGTATTGTCCTGCCTTAGTCATGAGTTAGAAGTGCCCCACGCCATTCCTCTCTCTGCAGGCAGGCTGTGAGTAACACAGGTACCAGCCTGAGCCCTGCAAGCTACTTTTGGGAAGTGGCAGGAGACAGAAAGTTCTCACTGTCTGCCTGCCATGCTGCCAGCGTGGCTTTGCCACTGCTGGAGCCGAAGGAGGTGGATGCACAGCTCTAGGGAAGCCTCAGCTGGAGTCTCAGGAACAAGAGAGGGACTTGTCTGTTAACTGGGATAGGGATAGGCTCTCCAGTGCTCATTGGTCCCATTCCTCCACTCTCCAGATTAAAATACAATGGTGCTGACTGGGGATACTGCTAAACACTTCTCCAAAGAGTAAGCCTTTGTCATTATCTCAGTTGGTTTTGAAAGTCTTGGCTGCCAGCATGTAAAATGTATTTTCAAAATAACTCTAGTTTTAAATATTATTTACCCACTGTACTTATAACCATACTTTAAATTACATTTACGTCAGAAAATAAAAACTTTAATTAATTACTTCTCATATCATTCAACTAAAATTTTCACTCAGAAACAACTTCTTAGTTGAGATGTTAGCTTAGTATTACTTCTGATTGCTTTACTGTTTTTTTGTTTTACTTTATTTAAGCTTTGTTTGCTTTACTTTTTTTTTTCCTTTTTTGTTTGTTTTTTTGTTGACAGAAAGAAGAAGGTTATTCAAAGTTGAAGAAAGTCAAAAGAAGTAAGCCTTCTACTTAGGACGTTCTGGAGTGTTCAAAGAATACTGGGTATGTTCATTAAAATTTAAAATATTCTTCTTTATTAAAATAATATCATGTCTGTAATAGTTCCTAGTCTTTTGGATCATGATAATGCTATCAGCTGTCTCCAGCTTTACTAAAGAAATGGCTTATAGAGCAAAATCATGAGGTAACAGAAGTTAAGATTCTTGGGTTTTTTGAACACTATCAAATAAAGCTTTGATATTTTTTTTTTTTTGTGAAACAAGCAACATTAAATATAAAGGCACGTTGTACTTAGTAGAACTTAGAATTTGGCTTAAATTTGTATTTTTATTGACTCATTTTCTTTCAGACTAAAATAAACCTGTTTTTTATGCCGCTGAGTTTCACTTGAATCTGGGCTGAAGTTAATCTGGTCCTTCTTCAGAGGTGATCTGTTTTAGTGATTCAGCATAGATATCTGTAGGTCCAAGGTCTGTGACTTTCACCGAGGACTGATGAACAGAAACAATGTCTCTGAGAATGGTCAGAACTTTTTAAAATTAAATTAAAAAAAAAATCTGGTTTTTTTTTTCATTTTTATTATTTAAACAACACAGGATCAAGTGGATCATGGTAGGTGATGCTTAAACCCTGGAGAGGAAACAGTGTCTTCCATAAGGTGTTTAAAATATGATTTTAAGAATCCTGTGGGTATGAGTTCTTCATCGGTGTTGATGATTTAAAAAGCAAACTAAAGTTAAAATAACTTCTGCTGTTGGATTGATGCCTACAATTTTGATTCTGAAAAGCTTTGCTCTGAATTTATGTATTACTACACATGCATTCAGAATGCATGTTTTCATTTGAGCACTTGAGAATTACTTGTAAGTTTTCAAATTTACTGTGTAGCAAGATTTATGGGTGAGAAGGTCTTACCATGGAATTCAACAATATAGTCAACAGGAAGGACTTGGATCTATAATTCATGACAATAAAAATATTTTTTTACAATTATCTTGCAAAAAGGGTCAGTTTTTATGACTAACATGCCAAGTTGCACAGCCTCTTAACTTGTCCAGGAAATCACAGCATAATCCTAATTTTCTTCTTTATTTTGCTGGTGATAATAGTGGGTATGTTAATAAAGCAACATGAGAGAAGTATTTATCACTTTAAGAAGTTGAACATTTATTTTTAATACTAAATCATTCTCATTCATTCCATTTTTACCCATAGGTAGGCACTCTCTGGGAAAGGACTTGGGTTTTTCTTTGGCATAAAAAGAGTAGCTGAATACCAGGCATGAGTTTGAGCTACCCCCCTCCCATCCCTGTATTTAGGGGTCTGGGCTGTGCTGGGTACATTGCTCATTTTCAAGGCCATGTAGATTGGGCCAGTGGAACCTCCAAGGCTGCTGAGATGCCCAGCCCATGGGGTGGGGGTGGAGTATCTGCTGCTGCTGCTGAGCGAGCTCAGTAGAGTCTACTAGATCTCCATTGAATTTAATAGGAGTTTTGCCATCTAATACACGTGTAGACAGATAAATGTAGGTGGTCTATAGCTGGAGCTCAAAACCTTCCCAAGAGGTAGACTTGAATAGTTATTCATTTTGAATAAAGACTATTAAGCCATTTTATATTTGCTGTCAATTTTTTTTAAATTCTCCATGCTTAGTCTTTTATTAATGAAAGTAATTCTATCATTTTTTAAAGGTCAAAAACTACTATAAAAGGGAAGTTTGTCTTCTAAAACCAATCAGAAGAACAGAGCTTCCAGAAGAGAGTATATACTAGTACAGAAAAATTATTTAAAAGAATTTGCATCATAACAAAATTGGTACCAGAACAGAAACATTCAGAATAGCAGCAATGAAGTTCCCAAGCCTTTTCCACTCTTCTGCAGAACTCTTCCTGTTGCTTTGCTCCTGTGTTGTCATATGATACCGACCTTTGGTTTTAGTTGCCAAATTTCATTTAGCAAACGAGCAGCTACAAATTCATTGCATATAGTAATAAAAGTATTATTTTACATGAAAGTGATTGCTCCCATTGCTGTAAGGTTGTTGTATGAACACAAGTTGAAGGAAGGGAATCCACACAACTGGAATTAGGTAAAAGTTCCCAGCAGTTTTGTAGGTAAGGGCTAGAGATCTGTTGGACTGTTTCTTCTAAAAGATGGATAGCCCCAAGCCAACATTTAGGAATCTCTCCTCTAATTAGAAAGTTATGGTACACAAATTTCAACAAAACCATCTTTGAAATGCTTTGTTGTTGTGAAATATTAGGCTAAAGTAAGGCCTTTTAAGATAGCATATAAATATAATAGCATTAGCTGGTTTTATGAAGAAACAGATTCAACTTAAATTTGAAAATATTTTCCTGGAAATTGTATATGGTGAAAATATTTGGATTTTCACTGAAAAAAGATTCTGAAAATGTTTAGTCTTTCAATGAAAAAGCAACCTCTTTTATGATGGGGGAAAAATTAATTTCCTAATCAGATCTAGTATCAGAAATAACCTTTGGACTGGGTTCATTAGTAGGTTGTTGGTACCTAAATACTTGAGACATACTCCAAAAATAGATACTGTCGTAACATTATTGCTATTATCCTGTCCATTTTTAATTGCTGCAAGATTGTTCCAGGTTAGAGTTAATCTAATTTACTGCCTGGTTGACCATTTAAAAATGCTAAAGAATATTTTCTTAAGATTCTGTCACTTAGTTTCTTGTAGAGCCAAGGATTTGGTTTGGCTGCCTGATCTCAGCTGGTTAAGAAGGTGTGAATACACTTCTGCAATTGAAGTTCCTTCCTCCAACACCACAACTGATTGTAATATTTTGAGGGCTTTAAATTTAAAAACCCAGACCTAAGAGGAAGGATAAAGCTTAGAATAGCACCATAGATTTATCAAGGAAAGAATTCTTTCTTGTTCTGTATAAAAATGCAAATAGTTAAGTTGAATGCCCTAAATCCAAACTTTGTAAACAGAAGGAAAATACAAATGTGGAAATACGGCAACTTTTGTCTGCATATTAACCATACAGTTCTGAGTTATCTTTCAGTTTCTTTTGTGATATAAACTTTTTCTATGTTTTTCTCCATTCAGGTTCCCAGGAGGGCATTAACATACCTGAGGATCTCTGAGCTTTGTGAATTTTGCTCTGTTTGTTTCACATCATTGGTACCTGTTTCTGGAGATAAAACTGAGGGTTAAATACCTATAGTCAAATGAGTCTATATGGAATAACTCCTCCAGACAGTTTAGGTTACTAATCCTCTAATGAATTTGAAAATTTAGCTCGTTGTTTCAGTTTTGAATCACATTATATCTGTCCTCGTACTTGCTTACACACTTAATCATTCTTCCAAGTTATTTTGAAGTTTAAAGTCTGTCTTTTTGTGATATAGTTATATTTAATTCTTTGCCTCGATGTCTAGACCTCTTTGTTTCATCTGTAAAACATTTCTAAATAACTTTTGCTTGTCAAGTCAAATGATTAGAAAATAAAACAGTTCATTTTTTCTTAGGGGACTAATCTGAAGGCTGGATTTTATTTCAGCTTATTTAATTCTTATTATGATTTTTAATGAATTTCCATTTTCAGAAATGAAACTGCTCTGTAAAAGACTTTTTAAAATCAAATTGATACTGCCATTCTTCAGCAGTTCATGCAGAATATGTATAGCTGTCCTTTGAGTAATTTATCAGCATAAATGTATCTTCAATGACCTACTTGAAAGCGTAGTTACAAATATATATGGCTATATGATTGTTGCCCCATAGTCACTGTTTTTAAATGAATATTATTTGTGTTACCTGGAAAATAAGAATCAAATGTCACAACATTAGCTCCTCAGCTCAAACAATATAGAACTGTTAGTTTAACACTTGCTTTGGATGCACACTTGCAAAACTTTTTCCTAAAGGAATTGTTACAGTGGAACTTTATGTGCTGTATTCAAACTTTTTCAGGTTTATATTGCCATAGCTGTATTTTTATTTATCTATCTCATTTATAAAAGCAGGATTTTACCCAACTACAGTGACAACTTTTCTTTTGTTTTTGCTTTTTTTCTTGAATGGTGATTGTTAACACACCTCTGATTTAGTGGTGCCAGTGTTTAAAAGGAAGGACACAACATGTAATTTTCTCGTTCATAATACAAAAAAATACAAAACAACACAAATATTACAAAAATTAGAGCAATATGCTCAGCAAGAAATCAAATCATATTTACATTTTGTCTGGAAATTGGTATACAAAGCTACTTTTCAGATGCTGTGGATTAGTTATTTTTCCATAGGTTTGACTGTATGCAATTGATCTTTTTCTTGTCTTATAATATGAAAAAGCCTGCAGAGCAGTTGCATTTCTACTGTGCTATATAAATTAGTGCTTTATCTGATCTGTTTCCTATTGTTGCTTTTTATATTCTGCTGGTTGCCAACACTTGCCTTGAATTATAACATTTTGCTTTATTCTTGCATTTTAAAATGTTTACATCATTTTGTGTTATCTATTATAGTACTTGAAATACAGGAAATGTAATTATTGCAGATCCAATTTCTCCCATTTAAAATAAACTATTGAATTATTCATTCATGCTAAATTGCCAAATACTTCCTAGTCTATGCTGTGGAGGAGGACCCTGTTATTCTGCCCCACCTGCCCACTCCTTGTAAATGTATAGTAAGGTGTTGATAGCGAGTGGAAACACGCTGGGTGCAGGAGTGGCGGTGGAAATGCCACTAACAGGAGGAAGGATGGGTGCTGTGGCTGCCTTCGGGGGCTTTGGCCACGCTGAAGGGACATTTTCTGCTGCCTTACCTTTCACCGTTTATATGGAGGGGCTGTAAGAGCCCATCTCAGTTTCTCCTTTTAGTCAGTTCTTACTAATGAGACAGAATGCCCTTGCTTCTGGCAGGTACACAAAGCACAGGAACCCTCAACGTCTAAGGTCACCTGGAGCTTTCACGTGTGATGTCTGCAGGCTTGGTTTCGCAAGATTAAAGGAACAGACCCACCCACC